TTTAAAATTTTATATATATATATATTTGAATGAATACTGCAAATGTAATCTATGAATACCACAAATGTGATTAATATCATGAGTGTAATTAATGAATAGCGTGAGTGTAATTTAAAAAATAAATAAATAAAAACAAAACAAAAGTCTGCTAAATACTAAAAATAAACAAAGAGGAGCAACATGAATTGTCATGTATGGAACCTTTTAGAAATGTAAATTGGCATAGTCACTTTGAACATCATTTGGCATTACCTAATAGAGTTGAGTATATGTCTTAGTTAGGGTTTCTATTGCTGTGAAGAGACACCATGACCACAGCAACTCTTACAAAGGAAAACAGTTAATTGGCTGGCTTACAGTTCAGAGGATCAGTCCATCATAATCATGGTGGGACATGGTGCAGGCAGACATGGTGCTGGAGGAGCTGAGAATTCTACATGACCTACAGGCAAAGGGAAGTGGTCTGTCTCACTGGGCATGGCTGGAGCATATATGAGACCTCCACAGTGACACACTTTCTCCAAAGACCACACCCACTCCAATAAGGTCACACCTCCTAATAGTGCCACTCCCTCTGGGGGCCGTTGTCTTTTAAACCACCACAATAAGCAGGCATTCCCTTTCCCCAGCAATTCTGTTCCTAGGTTTGAGCCAAAGAGAATTGTACAGCTGCACCTGAAAACAAGTAGATTACTTATCATAGCAAAGAAATAGAGGGGAAGGTGCTAGGAGCTTAAATGTTCTGAGGGTGGAATAACGTGTTGAAATTGAAATAAGTGTAATTCAAGCCTCAACTCAAAGCAGTGGTAAATGAAAAAGAAAGTCCTAGGAGGACGTAGTAATATGAGATGTAATAAAAAGGAAAAACAAAAACTGCTGAGGATTTGTACGTTCTAACTATAGAGAGCAAGAGAGTCATTGATAATTCAGTATACTAACTTGCTCCTTTGGAGGAGAGATGCATCTGAGGTGGCTGAGGTGCTGGTAATATCTCGGTGCTCAGTGTGTTTGTGGGTGTTCATTTTATTCTTAAAGTAGTAACGTAAGCCTTAGGATAGATTTCACTTTGGGACAAGGAAAAGCAGTATACCGAAGTAAACTGTTTCTTTCTATGTGTCGTATTCCAAATCTGTAAAACCTGGGTGTCGTGTAACATTACATTTGCCAATAGTACCTCCTTTCTTGCCACTGTGCACAAGAATGTTCTAGTGTGGTGATTTTGAATTTATGGATTGTATTGGGACACTTTAGAGAATTAAGAGAATGATCAAAATAATTACAATCTTTGCATGAGGACTTTTTAGAGAAACAGTTATTGACTAAAAATTGTTTTTTTATGGTATATGTATGTATGGTTTTTTTTTTTTTTTTTTTTTTTTTTTTTTTTTTAAGGCAGGGGTTTCTCTGTGTAGCTCTGACTGCCCTGGAATTCGGTCTGTAGACCAGGCTGGCCTCCAACTCACAGAGATCCTTCTGCTTCTGCCTCTCGGGTGCTGGGATTAAAAGTGTGTGCTCCCACTGCTCGGCTTATTATATTTTTTACATGGGTGATAATAAAGCACATTTAAAACTTTTTATTGGGCTGGGTGGTGGTGGCGGCGTCGCCGCCACACGCCTTTAATCCTAGCACTCAGGAGGCAGAGCCAGGCGGATCTCTGTGAGTTCTCTGTGAGTTCGAGGCCAGCCTGCTTTATAGAGCAAGGTCCAGGACAGGCACCAAAACTACATGGAGAAACCCTGTCTCAAAAAAACAAAAAACAAAAACAAAAAAAACAACTTTTTATTGGGTATCTAAACATTGAAAAATAGTGGAAACTAAGTTACTCTATCTGTGTGTGTGTGTGTGTGTGTGTGTGTGTGTGTGTGTGTGTGTGTGTGTGTGTGTGTGTAATACTGGGAATTGAACCTAGGGCTTCACACACAGCAAGTGTAACTACAATGAGGTATATCTCCACCCCTCCTTTTGTAGTGTTTTTAAACTTTTGAGACCGTCTCACTGAGTTGTCTGGCTTGTTTGTTCATCAGGTAGACCTTGAACTATTGCATGAATTCTTTTTTTTTTTTTTTTTTTTTTTTTTTTTTTTTTTTTTTTTTTTTTTTTTTTGGTTTTTCGAGACAGGGTTTCTCTGTGTAGCTTTGCGCCTTTCCTGGAACTCAGTTGGTAGCCCAGGCTGGCCTTGAACTCACAGAGATCCACCTGGCTCTGCCTCCCGAGTGCTGGGATTAAAGGCGTGCGCCACCACCGCCTGGCGCATGAATTCTTAAATGGTCTTTTAATTAAAAAAAAAAAAAAAAAAGAAGAACCAGATACTGGGGTAAATACTGAAAGATTAGAGAGACAAAGGAACAAGTCACTGCCATGTCTTACCTTGCCAACTCCACGAATCCTCTGACTGAATGTCTCTAAGTCCTCAGCCAAAGGGGGTCCAGCAGAGAAAGCCTCTAGCCTAAAAGGCTCTAGTTCCTGTCTCCTCACACCTTATATACCTTTCTCCGCCCAGCTATTTGACTTCCTTCCCAGTGCTGGGATTAAAAGTGTGTGACTCCTAAGTACTGAGATGAAAGGTGTGTACCACTACTGCCTGGCTCTGTTTCTCTCCTAGACTGAATCAATCTCATATAATCCAGGGTGGCTTTGAACTCACAGAGATCCAGACAGATCTCTGCCTCTTGAGTGCTTAGGATTAAAGGTGTGAGCCACCACTGCCTGGCCTCTATGTTTAATTTAGTGGCTTGTTCTGTCCTCTGATCTTCAGGCAAATTTTACTAGGGTACAATATGTATCACCACATTGAACTTGTATCCCCTGTGTGACCCTCCTCAATGGCTGAAGTTACACGTCTGTGCCACCAGGTCCATCTAGCAGAATTGTTCTTGATACATGCTTGTAAACCTTTGTCAATCTGTTACCCTTACCTGTCTCAAATAATCACCTTACTGATATTTTTATGAAAGGACTATTTTTCAAAGCCATCTTATTTTAAATAATTTTCCCCTCCAAATTATCCATCACCTCCTGCATTACTTTTTATGGTTAATATATTTGAAAGTTCTGGGAACTTATCTGAAATGGCAAATTATGGGCTCTCACCAGACTCATACTTGATTAGTCAATCAGGAAACTGGGTAAGGCTCTGGATTCTGGATCTTAAAGTGTGGCTGCATTCTGATAACAGTCAACGTAGAGAACTTTCGGAGGGGATCTCTGTCGTTCAATGGTAGGGAGTTTGTGTAGCATTCACAAGGCCCTGGATAGACAGTTAAAAAATAAAAACAAACCGTTGTCTTAAAGTTGGAAATACAAAGTGGGAGTTGCTTAGCGATAATAATCCGCTCAAAACCAAACAATAACAACAACAAGAAGCAACCCAGGCACCATAGCACCCCTGTAACTCCAGCATGTGGGGGGCTAAAGCAGGAGCAGTGCCAGCTTGTGCTACAGGAAGTACAGGATGCCTGCTACCCGGAGGAACTGCCACTCAACAAGTGTACGCCAGGCCTGTCTTCGGCAGTTACCCAGAATGCCTGCAGTGTAGCATCTGCAGAGATGGATGCTGCCCGTGTACTTGTCGTTAGACCTTAGGGTTGCTAGTAAATTAGTGGGTGAGTCTTCCTTCTATACACGAGGCAGAAAAATCTGTAATGAGTTTGTAGTGGAAGATATACCAGCTAAAATAGTAAGCTGGGAACTCTTGGGAGAAAAGGAGGCAAAGGATACGGATCAGACCTTGGCATTACTGGTCATTTCACAGCCAAGAAAAAACCAGGCAAATCACTAGTGCAAGCACTGTCTCTTCTACGAACATTTTGTGTGATGGTCCAGGCATGCTGATAGAGATTTTGAAGCACATGATCGCCAGCTTCCCATATTGTTGTGGCCTGTTTTCAGTGTCCTTTCCTGTAGAGTAGTCCTGCTGTGTGTAGGGATGGCCGTTATCAGTGTACAGCCACACTGACAAAATGAAGAGCCTCCCTGGGGTCAGGCCTTTGGTCACTCTACCAACTACTGGGTGATGCATCCCAGTGTGTTTTAAGGAAGACTTTTCAGAATGCCTTTTTATTGTTGTTTAAAAACATCTTTTCAGCTGGATATGGTAGTATATACCTGTGTTTGTAATACTCCGGAGGCCAATGCAGGAGGCTCACCTTGAATTCAAGGCTAGCTTGGTCTATGTAGAGAGTTCCTGGTTAGCCTGGGCTATGGTGTAAGAGCTTGTCTAAAAAAACCTTACATGAACAAATAACAAAATAATATTTTCCTTTAAAAATGTTTTTAAAAGATTCCCTTGTTTTTATTTTATATATACCTGTGAGTGTCTGCATGTATGTGTGTGTATCACATGTGTGTGAGTACTCTTGGAATTCAAAAGAGTGCCAGATCATCTGGAACACAGGCAATTGTGAGCCACCCCATGTGAATGCTGGGAACTGACCACAAACTCTCTACAGGGAGTATTCTTAACTGCTGAGCCATCCTCTCCATCTCCTAAAATAATCTTTTTGAAAAAATATTTTTTAAAACTCTTTTCCCAGAGGCAGGGGACTATTCCTTCCTGTGACACATTATTACTGTGTCCTAAATTGCACTCCTAAATAGTTTGTAGCGAAACAAATGTCCATTGGGACAATTTGACATCACTGATAGAAACAAATGTTGTCCTTTAGGACAATTTAACATCACTGAAAAATTTGTTTTGGCAATATATATATATATATATATATATATATATATATATGTATGTATTATTTCGCCACTGAAATTCAGTTATCAGAAATTGTAATTCTATAAGTAGTTATTTTAATGATTTTCATTTTCACTTTTTCCCACTTTATTATTTTTCTACAGAGACAAAAAGTGAAGGCATGAATGATCTGTAGCTAAGAGTAGCGTATGATATGATCAAGAATGTATGACAAATGGACGTAACAGTTCCCTTCCCCCAATAATAGATACAGCTAGATAAGATTTATGTTTAAATGGCTGTTTCTTTCCTCCATAGCTATCAGAAGTGGGGCAGATCACGAGACTGGCTACACTGCGAACCATGGCACTGCCATTCCGGAAGGACTTGGGGGAGTATAAGGACTTGGATGAAGATGAGCTCCTTGGCAATCTATCAGAAGCAGAGCTGAAACAGCTCGAAACTGTCCTGGATGATCTCGACCCCGAGGTTGGTGCTGGTCCAGGAAGAGAAATGCGATAGCTTGTCAGACTGCCGGCTTGCTTTCTATGGCTTTCCCCGGTTCCCTTCACCCACTCTCTATCCAGGTCCCCATATCCACCTCCACATCTTACCACACAGGCATTCTAAACTATCGTTAAACATCTACACAAGTTTTTCTCTATTCTAATCTTCCCTCTGTGCAGTTGAAAGTAATAATAGCTAATTAGCTCTTTAATTGATGCTAATCTGTTTCTCTTCAGAGTTTCTGTACCAGGCTGGTGCCAGTATACTGGGCCTCTAGAGTGTTCTTAATGGCCTAAACCTAATTATAACGGTCCTTGAGAAAAGTTGACCAAATGGTAGAAGTCATTAGCATTGGTAGAACAGTTCTAAGATGCAGATCTGAACACAGATATTTCTTTACTGATAAACCCATCCTAGGTTGCAAATATTATACATTGAAGTGCATTTAATATACCTGGCCTACTACATCATAGCTTTTCCTAGCCTACCTGAAGTGTGCTCAGAACACTTAAATAACATTTGGACAAAATCATCTAATACAAGCCTAGTTTGTAACAAAGTATTGAATACGTTGTGTAAGTTGTGTGCTATAGTGAAAATGAAAATCAGTGATTGAGTGGGTGCACTTCTCCACCATCGTAGAGTTGATCCATTGTTAAGTCAAGGACATTGTAGATGTACCCTTGTCTGTATTTGCCAAGCGGCTGTTACTTGTCTCATACAAGGCTACATAAGGCTAATTAATGTAGAACCCTTTAACCTTTGAGTGTGGCTCGAGGAGGAGCAGGTAGCAGGAAGAACAGCAAAGTGGTGGTTATTAGCAAAGCTTTACCATGTCTCTTAAAGCCATTGGTTTTATATGCCCTTTAAGAATTGAGGTATCATGAGCTTCTAGGGCAAGGAGAGGTACTGGGATTAATTAAAATCAGGGCCTCAAGCATGCTAAAAATGTGCTTTATAAAATTGTTCTTGTTGCTAGCTGGTATGTCTATACCATAGGTCAAGTCCTTTGACCATAATTACTATTACGAGGAAAACTGCTCATACCTAAGACTGAGAGATTTCTCAGGATAATAGAGCTGTCAGCAGTATATTTGGCAGTCAGTTGATGAGACCAATTTAAATAAAATGGTTTAAGAACCAGAAAGCATGTAAGAGACTGTCTAGCCTGGGTTTTTCACCTGGGCCAATGACTTTTTTGAGGGCCTGTCCTGTGCTTTACAGGATGTTTAACAACCCCTTGCCTCAGTAGGAGCAATCTCCATTGGGGAGCAGTCTTCAGGCTGTGACTATCCAGGGGAAGAAAACTATGGTAGACATTTTTGTACACACTGTCAACATCCACACCTAGAAGCAATAGGGCTCACTATTCCCTTCTGAGTCCCACCCCCAAGGAGAAGGCTTTACCATTTTCTCCCTGGGTCTAAGACTGCGGGGTCCTTAACATGGCCATGCCTATGTCAACAGCACCATTCTCTCAGGACTTCACTCAGGGCTTCCTCTGCTCCCTACACGCAGGTGTATATACTTCAGTCCCCAGCTCTGGAATCTTGATTCGGTAAACGTTGGGGGACAGCCTGCAGGTCCTGGCCGCTGTGCTACAATCAGGAAACGCAGGAGTGAACAAAACAAATGTAATTTTTGCCCCGTGATGCAGGCTGGTAGGAACGGGGAAAACTAGACTTGAATCAGATAACAAAACTATGTTAAAGGAGTGATGAGTGCTACAGACAGTAACTTATGAATGAGACATCAGGAAAAACGTTCCCGGGGGCCTGATGCCGGAGTCTTAAGAATGAGTAACCGGAAAGGATGGACAGAACCTTCAGGGGAAGTGGTCTCCGTATTTCACACATTTAAAGGTCGTCGTTGAAGGAGTGTATGACAAGAACAAGGAAGGAAATAGTGTACCAAGAATGGAGGTGTGGGCTGAGCCTGGGCTAACAGATGGAGGGGCGCGAAGGGAGGACGAGACCGGGCACCTGATGTCCTGAGGTCAGTACACTAGTGTAACATTCCAGCCAAGCTCACATCAGAGCTTGCACCCAAGTACTGGCCTTGGGGATGAGGAAGTGATGGTTGTATTCGTTAGGAAGTAAAACTGGATAAACTTGCAGGCTGAATGGGCTATTTGTCAGTTCTTCTCATATTTCAGCATCTAAAGGTAGAAATCTTATGTTTGGTCTTTAAAGTTGCACAGATAGTTTCTTAATTGTAAATGCACACAATATTCAGGGTTAGGAACAGATCTTTGTGGTTTGTCCTTGTAGATCAGCCTTCTAAGTAATGAGTATCACTACATTAAGAATTTTGTGAAAACTGTTGTGGACTTCAGGAAATGGCCAAAGCGTAAGCATGATATTTTTAGTTATAAAGTCATCATTTCCCATTATTGTCCATAGAAAAAAATCACCTTTTGTAGTGAAAATGTATACCATCTGTGAGGTTGAACATCACTGCTAGTAATAGGTGTTGCCTTCACTGGCTGCCTCAATTGTAGAACAAGGAATATTCAGGAATATGAGGCAAGGCAACCTGTCTTTGCTTTTCTTTGCTTTGCATTGCTTTGCTTTAAGACAAGATCTCTTGTAACCCAGGTTGGCCTGGCTGTGAACTCTTTGTCCTCCTGTCTCTGTGCCAAGGACTGAGAGTCCAGCCATGCGGCCCTGGTTGAGGTTGACTTTTGACAAGCAGGGTGGTACTTACTTTGTCTTGTTACTCTGTTAATACAAATTGAGAGTCCTGACTTCAGGGGCAACTTCAAGCATTCCTCCCCTTTCTAACTCTAGTCAGTCCATGTGCTCAAGGCTGTGCGGTGTGGACACCAGAGGACTTCTGTGTCTCAGGGTACCATGAGGCATGCATAGCAAAGACATTAACTGTTACTAGCATACACTAACACTTATGTGTGCATATGGAAACATACACAGTGAACGGTTTTGTACTAGATTTAAATCTAGTAAACAGTCTTAATGTTGGACTGTGTATGTTTTTAGCTTGATAAGAGCTCTGTGATCAAATGGAAGTCATTACAAGGAATATTATATAGTAGTTTGAAGTTCTTTTGTGATAGAATTAGTTTATGTACATGTTTACTGGTCAGTAAGCATTAAGAAAATTGTTGCCGGGCGGTGGTGGCGCACGCCTTTAATCCCAGCACTCGGGAGGCAGAGCCAGGTGATCTCTGTGAGTTCGAGGCCAGCCTGGGCTACCAAGTGAGTCCCAGGAAAGGCGCAAAGCTATACAGAGAAACCCTGTCTCGAAAAACCAAAAAAAAAAAAGGAAAAAAAAAGAAAATTGTTGCTGTTGTTTGGACATTGAACTTTTTATCCTCCGGCTTCAGCTCCCTAAGAACTAGAACATAGGTATGTGTTACTAGGCCAAGCTAGGAAAACCTTTTTCTTAATAGTCCTTGGAGAAAAATAAAAATATCAACTTGAATATAAATATCAACATAAAGTAAAACACCTTCCCTGGAAAAATAATAATCCATGGACACTTAAAAATTAAAGGGTGGCCGGGCGGTGGTGGCGCACGCCTTTAATCCCAGCACTCGGGAGGCAGAGCCAGGTGATCTCTGTGAGTTCGAGGCCAGCCTGGGCTACCAAGTGAGTCCCAGGAAAGGCGCAAAGCTATACAGAGAAACCCTGTCTCGAAAAACCAAAAAAAAAAAAAAAAAAAAAAAAAAAATTAAAGGGTGAAGTTAGGCAAAATGACTCGGCAAGAAGGATCATAGCAAGTTTGTGGCCAGCATGGTACACATTGTGAATTCCAAGCCAGTCATGGTGATATATCAAGAGCCTGTTTCAAAAAAACAAAATGCTAATGGGTGTTCCCTCCTAGATGATTTCTGAAGAAAATATGTAGGTGCCTATTTTTAATAATGTAAGTGAATTCTGCCTACTTAAAAACAATAAGACTTGCCAAGTGGTGGTGATGCATGCTTTTGAGAGGCAGAGGCAGGCGGATCTCTGTGAGTTTGAGGCCAGCCTGGTCTACAGAGCGAGTTCCAGAACAGCCAAGGCTACACAGAGAAACCCTGTCTTGAAAACAAACAGACTTGTGAGCCAGTCAGATGGGGCAGCACTAAAGGCAGTTACCAGTAACTCCCTAAGTTGTCCTCTGACCTCTATATGTGCCCACACCCCAAATCAATAAATCAGTGTTTCAATATAAAAAACTTGTAATACCTCTCACGTGACTGTCCTAACATCCTGCAAGGAGGTGTTTGATGCCTGTGTCCTGCTGTTCCTTGATCTTTCTCACTTGGGAAGTCCGTAGAAGCATGGAGGGTTGGCATTCTTGGTGGTTTGCTGCTCACAGTGACTGACTCATTCTCTTTGGCAGAATGCCCTTCTGCCTGCAGGGTTTCGGCAGAAGAACCAGACCTCAAAGTCCGCCACGGGACCCTTTGATAGAGAGCGTCTCCTTTCTTATCTAGAGAAGGAGGCACTGGAGCATAAAGACCGGGAAGACTATGTGCCCTACACCGGAGAGAAAAAAGGTAAGTAAGCCCAGGACTGGATGTTGTCGTTCAGCAGCTTCAGGTCCTTTTTATAATGGATGCCCAAGGAGAAACTGGTTTCTAGAGGTGCATAATATTACAGCAGCCTTTGAAGATGCAATACTGTCGACCTAAAAGTTCACTAGGTAGTGTAGACACTTCACTTATATTTATCAGCTTATCTAGTGAGATTTTTGTCTCAATTATTCATTAGTGAGGTTTTATTACACAGAGACTTTGTATAACATTACTTCACGCTACAAGTTGTGGAAGCAAATTTAAAACCTAGTTTATTTACAGAGTGCAAGTGACAGCAAAAAATGCTCTTCCTAAAGTCTTTAGAGTGAAATTCCATAAAATAATTCACGCTTTTTAAAAGATACCCTTCCTTAACTGTCTTTAATACATCATAGTTTGCTAATGTTTCCTATGGTGAGTTTGAGGAAATTTTTCTTTTTTTTTTTTTTTGGTTTTTTCGAGACAGGGTTTCTCTGTGTAGCTTTGCGCCTTTCCTGAAACTCACTTGGTAGCCCAGGCTGGCCTCAAACTCACAGAGATCTGCCTGGCTCTGCCTCCCGAGTGCTGGGATTAAAGGCGTACACCACCACCGCCCGCCCGGCTTATCTTTTCTAATCAATAAAAAAAGAACAAACAATGCATGAAGATGTGGCTTAGATTGAACTTTACTTTTCAGAGTGAAAAAGTTTACCAGCTAAAGTTACAGCTCAAGAAGTAGTGGGGGGCTGGAGAGATGGCTGAAAGGTTAAGAGCACCGACTCCTCTTCCCAAGGTCCTGAGTTCAATTCCCAGCACCCACATGGTGGCTCACAACCATCTGTAATGAGATCTGGTGCCCTCTTCTGTATACATAATAAATAAATAAATCTTTAAAAAAAAAAAAAAAGAAGAAGAAGTAGTGGGTAGCATATAACTTAGAATTGGGGCATACATGAGGAAACAGAAAACCGGGAACTAAGGACAGGTAGTAGACTTTTACTTTAAAGTACAACTAGATAGAAATTCTGCAGGATGGCTTAGCTCATATGCAGGTTATACTATAGAAGTTACAGGAAAGGCTGGAGAGGTGCTTCAGTGGCTAGACCACTTGCTGCTGATCCACAGGACCTGTATTCAGTTTGCAGTGCCTATGTGATACAACTCACAACTTCCTGTAGCTCTAGCTCTCAAGACTCCAACGCCCTCTTCTGGTCTCTGAGGGGACCTGCACTCACTTGCACATACCCCCCCCCAATACATAATCAAAAATTAATATTTTTTCAAGTAAAATCAGAGTACATAAAACAAGAACCAAATATATGAACACATAGGGTACAATTATGTATATTAGATAGATCCCTTGATACAGTAAAAGAAGTTTGTTTTTTTAATTTGAGGGTTTCTTTTTAAAAATACGTGTTTGTGCTTATATCTGTGTATGTTTTATGTGCACGAATCCTAAATGTTCTTTTAATAAAAAGCTGGAACCAGATATTGGGGTAAATACTGAAAGATCAGAGAGACAAAGAAAGAAGCCACTGCCCACATCTCACCTCACCAACTCCTCAGCCGATCTCCACAAATCCTCAGACTGAATGCCTCTGAGCCCTCAGCCGAAAAGGCTCTTAAGTTCCTGTCTCCTCACACCTTATATGCCTTTCTCCACCCAGCCATTTCACTTCCTATCTCAACCTTCCTAGTGCTGGGATTAAAGGTGTGTGTGCTTCCCAAATCCTGGAGTTAAAGGTGTGTGCCACCACTGCCTGGTTCTGCTTTTCTCCTAGACTGGATCAATTTCATGTAGCCCAGGGTGGCTTTGAACTCACAGAGATCCAGATGGATCTTTGCCCTCCCCCACCCCCAGTGCTAGGATTAAAGGTATGTGCCACCACTGCCTGACCTCTGTGTTTAACTCTATGGCTGGCTCTGTCCTCTGATCTTCAGGCAATCTTTATTTCTTAGATTACAAATATATCACCACAACTGTGTGTAAAGTTTCCTGTGAGGCCAGGAGAGGGAGTTGTGTAGCTACAGTTGTGAGCCACCCAATATGGATGCTGAGACTTGGGTCTTTTGAAAGAGCTGCAGGTGCTTCTAACCGCTGAACATCTCTCTAGCCCCAAACTTGCTTTTTTCTTATTATTGCATTTACTCATCTATTTTCTGTTTATATGTGTGGATATATGTGTGTGGGTGAGTGTGCATGTAGAGGTCAGAGAACAACTTGAAGGAATGAGTTTTCTCTTTCTACTTTATGGATCTAGTAGTTGAACTCAGATCTTTAGACTTGGTGGAAAGCATCCTAACCTACTGAGCCATCTCTCCAGCCCAGGAAAGCTATTTTTTAAATTACCCAGCATCCTTGTAAGACAGCATTTAGGTTACCTAATAGGGAAGAATTGTGGTGGTGGGTTTTTTGTTATTCTTTGTTTTTGTTTTTTAAGATAGTGTCTTACTAGTCTAGACTGGCCTGGAACTAGCTGAGGCTGACCTAACCCTTGTGTAATCCTCCTGCCTCAGCCTCCCAGAGTGCTGGGATTGCAGATGTGAGCCACCATGCCTCTTTTTTTTTTTTTTTTTTTTTTTTGCAGTGCTGGAGATTAAGCCAGTGGTTCTCAACCTTCCTAATGCTGCGACCCTTCAATACATGTTGTGGTGACCCAAACGATAGAATTATTTTGTTACTACTTCATAACTGTGATTTTGCTGCTGTTATGAGTCATAATGTAAATATCTGTGTTTTCTGATGGTCTTAGGTGATCCCTGTGAAAGGGTCATTTGCCCCCCCACCCAAGGGATCACAACCCATATGTTGAGAACCACTGGATTAAGCCCAAGAGGTTGTGCATGATAAACAAAACGCTCCAAGAGAATCAGGGGTATGAAGCCAACCTGGGCTACATGAGACCCTGTCTCTCACCACATATACACACACACATAAATAAATAAGATAAAATTGCAAAATGGGTAGCTGGGCATAGTCAAAGACAAGGATGAGGGAGAGTATTTTTCTAGCTCTTTTGAAAAATGATGAACATGCACAATGTTGACTATGGCTATTTCCCACCATACTTCCACATGTCATCAATAGTCTGTCTCAGAATTAAATAAGGCATAGAGCTGTCCCATGAATTTATCACTTGGCAAATTATGTGCCTAGTCTTTAATATTTCTTTCTGTCTTTCATGTTGCTTTGCTGTGTGAATCCTTGTTCATTTTGCTCCTACCTTGCTTCACTCTTGTCTGGACTGTTTTTCCTATGCCCATTATTTCAATGTCTTGACTGAAGTCTATTTGCTACAGATAGGTGTGTACCGTTGCATTGTTTGAACTCTGACTCATCAGGGGAGGGACTCATCAGGGTTGGGTCCCTCCTGTCCCTGAGGAACACTCCTGTTCTCTCTGCCAGTTCTTCGGGTGGAGCCCTCAGCACTTTATTGTTCTTCTTCTTTTCTTTCCAACTCTGAGAATGTAGTATTCTCAGGTTCCTCCCCAAGAATCCTATGTACTCCCCCTTGCTTCCCAACGGTGAATTAACAGGTTGTCTTAAATGCATGACTTGTTAAATACATTTCCACTCACCTGCAGCTGCCTCAGCTTTCCAGAAGTCTTGTGTTCACCATTATTCTGAGAGACTTCCAACATCTCCTTGAGTATGTGGCTCTGACGACCATTTGACTCTTGAGTGAGTCAGAAAGATGCAGTTCGAGGCCTTTGCAGCAGCTGCATGTGCGGGTTTGGGGGTGGCTGAAGCTCTGCATCAGAGACTTAAACTCCCACTGTTACTTGCTTTATTTTGTTTGGGGGTAGGACTGGATCATTTCATACTGGTTCCAGGGATTATTTTTCCTGGTCTAGTCATTGTTTATATTTTGCTACCAGTGTAAAAAATTGATTATAATTTAAAAATTCCAGTTCTGGATTTTGTTAAACAAGGAAATTAAAGTCAATCATATAGCGAGCACTTGCATTCAAATGCACATTGCCACAAGCATGCATGCTGCAGTGAATATTGCGTGCAAATGGTTGTTGTTGCTGTGGGTTTTTGTTTGTTTGTTTTTGTTTTTGTTTTTGTTTTTTTTAATGACAGCTATGTGCTGTAGCCCAGGCTGACCCCAAACTCCTAGAGATCCTCCTGCCTCTATTCCTAGTGCTGGGATTACAGGTGTGAGCCTTTACACACAGCTTTCTGATTTGTTTTGAATTAATACTTGTGATGGGGGGGGGGGCGTCCAACTTCCAGGGGTCTTGCCTGTGACTGTCTAGTTAGCTACTGATCTTTCTCAATTGAATTGTCTTTATGTGCTTGTAGGTAAATCAGTTGCCCAAGTATAAGAGTTTACTTATGGATCTAGTCCATTGGTCTATATATCTTATTTTCTACACAATAGTACTAGCTTAATTATAGTAGGCTTGCATTCAATCTTAAAATGGTCAAGTGTGAGTTCTCTGGTGTTGGTCCTTTTCAAGGTAGCATGGCTGTTCCGGCTTACATTTGTTTCCATATGAATTTTCAGATCAGCTTGTCATTTCATGTAAAGTGACCATTTAGGATTTTGAAAAAGACTGAAGTCAAAAAATAAATTTGGAAAGAGCCCACAGATTTTGTATTATAGAGTAAATGTAGATCCTAATTTATACTTTCTTATAAAATTAATCTCGTACTTATTAATGTTAAAGTACTCACAAAGAAAATATGAAGTAATTTTTTTATTGTTGGATAGGAGGAGCTGTCTTTTCTATTTTGCCCTTTTTTTTTCTTCCTCCTGACTTGGCACGTTAGGCAAACCAGCGCCGCTGAGCTAAGTCCTCAGCCCCCTCTCTTTCCTCCCCACCCCTCTTATTGAAACTGGAGTCTTCTCTCATACGGTACATCCTGATTACAGTCCCTCCCCACCTCCCCTCCCCTCAGAGCCACACCCTTTCTGTCTCTCATTAGAAAAGAATAGGATGAAGTCATTACTTTTCATGATTAACACATTTCTATATATGGAGAGGTTATC